CTCCACCAAATCGAATTGAAGTGCGCTGTGCTAAAGGGTGATGAGGTCCTTTGCTAATCGTGAGACCATAAATGATCATTTTACTGACTGATAAGTTCCAATGGATTGTTTGACCTGGTAGGACTGTGTCATGGCTTCTTCAAGGACATTTGGAGAGGGCATTGCATTATTGTACGTGGTGGAGCAGTTTGAATGGAGGGAGTTGTGGTGGTTTGTTTGGTTTGTCAAGAGTAAAGTTGTTCAGTGAGTGGTAGTAAGTGAGTCCTCTTCTTCACCCTCTTTTTTTATTTTTATTTATTTATTTTTTTTGTATAAGATGCTGCAGAGGTGTTTACCAATGATTACTAGGCATTCACATCATATTGTGGGCGTTGCATTGTCAGAGGATGAGGCGTTACGGTAATCGGTCGAATAAATGTCGGACCAAACCGACACACTCCGAGAGGTGATTTAGCAATGCTAATTTTGGGTAACCAAAACATTCACCCAATACTCAACCCTTAAGTTGTCTCAATGAGGTAGGAGGGAATCATTTTAGGGGGGGGGGAGGGGGAAAAGGGGAGGGGCAGAGGCCAACTAGGAGGAAGAGAGACAGAAAAGTAGAGGGATGCCCTCTTCATTCTCTGCTGATTAAACTTTTTCCGTATTAATAAGCTTTACCTTTCCTCATAGTTGGCATCAGCATTGACAGGAGTGATGACTTTGACACTAGCTTCACCCAATCCCATGTAAACATGTGCAACAGTCAGTAAGCACTCCAAGAATCTGTGTGAGGTCAACACAAGCCTATTTTATGCCTTTAGCATAAGGATGAGGATACACAACCCTACCAGCCTACCTCATTACCCATTTCCTTGCAAATTGGATACATATTCAGGGAGCGTAGAAAGAAGGAAGCGCTCCACACGCAGTCCTTGTCTCCACACAGGACCGAAGTCGTGCAACTTTTCACTCTCCCTGATCGAGCACAACACTGTACTGCAGTGAGACAAATTGTGAAGTGAAATGAAAATGATGGAATGTGCTAGGTGGGTGGGTGGGTGGGTGGGTGGTGTACACATGGAGAATTACAGCTACAGTAGATCCACTTGTAAGGCATGAGTCAAATACACGTCGCATACTACACACGCCTATTGGAGGTGGGTGCCAATGCAAAAGAAGCGGCAACACATACGCACTGTCAACATGCTGTGAGCATGTAACATACACATACACATCCACAAATGTACACAGGATCATTCAAGAGCTTAAGATTTTTTGCCTCTGGCAGGGCAGTTCCTCGTGCCTTAGAGAAGGTGGTGTTGAAACACCTCCACCAATCCCATTGGTGGAGCCAATTTGAAAGAGTTTCACACTTTGATTTGGTGCTTATTTTACTACTGATTGTGGTTTTTATGCAATTTATAAAAAGGTAAGTTAATTTTAGGCTTCTTATGCCTCTTGTAAGTACCTCTGTGAGTAAAAATGGTTGTAAGGTGACTCTGATTGTACGCTAATGTGAAAGGACTCTTCAGTCTATCATTAAACTTCAATCGAATTGGCGAGGAGGTGGTAAAAGCAGAGGCAAGCACGATTCTACACCAAGCAAGCTTTCCTTCATTCCAACCATTTAACACTCTTTTCTCCCCTCCCTCTCCCCACCCCCCCACGAAAACAAAACCAAATGAAACAAAAAAGAAAAAAAAACGATCGCATTGAATTTCAAGGCGAGTACTTTGGTGGAGTGGAGGAAGGTTGCAATTTACTCCGTTCCTTCTTGCTGGGTAATCCCAACTTAGTGTGAGATTGGCAGCCTCCATTCCGTTTTCTCAAAGGTTTCTGCGCTTTTCCCACATAACTTTGACGGTACTCATTGCCTTACTCCTGTTGTGCCGAAACGTCATCATTTGTACAATTGAAGACGTGAGAAAATTTTAAAAATTGAGAAAAAAAGAAGGCAAGAAGCCAGCAAAACTAAAATGTCCCTTTTTTTTTCCCTCGGCAAGTTCTCACCACCCACCAAACAATTTGTCTTTTTTGACAAATTGTCATTGTCACATGTCTAATGAAGCCTCCGATGGTGCACCCAACAAAGGGACAAATTTTGCCACCGAAAACACAGCACATCCCAATGAATGCATCAAAGCAAATTGCAGTAAATCACATCTTTGGTGTCAGTCCTCATGAAAGGTGTATCCCACAAAAAAGAAAAAAATTAGGATCACCTTCGTAAAAGCAACAAACCTAGCCCCTACAACCTTGTCTCTGGTCGTTGTTTTCTTAGAAAGGGGGGGGAGGGGAGGGGGAAAAAAACAACAAAGTAGGACAGAAAGCTAAACAACTTCCACCTTAAACAACACCAACTTCATTAAAGTTAAGCTAAAGTTTACGATTAGTGTAAAATTGCAAAATTTCCTCATAAAAGCCTTAATCCAGGCTTACTAAATAATTAAAGGGCTTTTAAGCTCACTTTACCCAACTGGGCATTAAAAACCACGGCTCTGAGTTTATTTGACAGTCCAGTGGCGGAGCGGGTTCAGTAATGCTGGTGGTGGTGGCGAGGGGTGGAAACTGCTTCATGAATAAGAAAGACGCACTAAACTCAGAAAAAGACAAAACTACGTCCTCTATCCTCTCGCACAAACACATCAGTCCCCAACCCTCATCGCTTGCCCTACTGCCATCGTGCGCCTCCACTTCAATCGTCAAAATGACGGTGTTTCACGATTGAGGTAAAGAGACAACTGATACAAACAGTACCACAGATTTAAAAGCACTTTAAAACAATAAACAAAAATAAATACAAAATTAAGTGTTAGAGGGTTAAAGAGTGATTTGACATTCTTACCTCCAATAAGTTGCCACTTCCTGACCTGTGAGTTAATTGCACGTGTATAGTATGATTTTTATACAAAAGTAGTATTATTGCAATAAATAGTACAGTGATAGTGAATAGGTTATGTGCAAGTCAGATTGGATAAAATTAATTGTCACCCGTTTGGGGGAGGGGGATGGAGGTGGGAGAGGCGGGAGGGTGGACGATGAGGAATGAGGCCGACCAGAAGGGGAAGAAGAAGAAGAAGAAAGGGGAGGCGGAGGAGGCGGAGGAGGAGGAGGACAGAAGACGAGAAGGGGAGGAGACAAGACTGATTTGAGGCAGTGGCAAAGTGAATGTATGCAGGAGACAATAAGCATGGTCAGGTTGTCTTCTCTTCTATTGGGGTATGTCGGGCGAGATTATGTTGTGCAAGAGGAGATAGTTCTGCAATTCTGTAAAACTAATGGATCCATCATCTAAAACACAAAAACAAGAGGGGAGTGTGTAGAGCAAAAGAG